ATGATTATTATTGAGTGCTTAAAGTGAAATTTATAAGTGGCGGGGTATTTACTACTAATCACTTTATGAGTGTACAAGATGATTAAAATTTATTCGATTTTATTTATCAGATTAATTTAGCTATCGTCTTGTTTTTAAACTAGTTTAGTATTTATTCTAGTCTAGAGTCTAGTCTATAGTCTAGTCTATAGTCTAGTCTTGAGTCTAGTCTTGAGTCTAGTCTTGAGTCTAGTCTATAGTCTAGTCTAGAGTCTAGTCTTGAGTCTAGTCTAGATGCTAGTCTAGAGTCAAGTATAGAGTCTAGTCTATAGTCTAGTCTATAGTCTAGTCTATAGTCTATAGTCTAGTCTATAGTCTAGTCTATAGTCTAGTCTATAGTCTAGTCTATAGTCTAGTCTATAGTCTAGTCTATAGTCTAGTCTATAGTCTAGTCTATAGTCTAGTCTATAGTCTAGTCTATAGTCTAGTCTATAGTCTAGTCTATAGTCTAGTCTATAGTCTAGTCTATAGTATAGTCTATAGTCTAGTCTATAGTCTAGTCTATAGTCTAGTCTATAGTCTAGTCTATAGTCTAGTCTATAGTCTAGTCTATAGTCTAGTCTATAGTCTAGTCTATAGTCTAGTCTATAGTCTAGTCTATAGTCTAGTCTATAGTCTAGTCTATAGTCTAGTCTATAGTCTAGTCTATAGTCTAGTCTATAGTCTAGTCTATAGTCTAGTCTATAGTCTAGTCTATAGTCTAGTCTATAGTCTAGTCTATAGTCTAGTCTATAGTCTAGTCTATAGTCTAGTCTATAGTCTAGTCTATAGTCTAGTCCATAGTCTAGTCTATAGTGTAGTCTATAGTCTAGTCCATAGTCTAGTCTATAGTCTAGTCTATAGTGTAGTCTATAGTCTAGTCCATAGTCTAGTCTATAGTCTAGTCTATAGTCTAGTCTATAGTCTAGTCTATAGTCTAGTCTATAGTCTAGTCTATAGTCTAGTCTATAGTCTAGTCTATAGTCTAGTCTATAGTCTAGTCTATAGTCTAGTCTATAGTCTAGTCTATAGTCTAGTCTATAGTCTAGTCTATAGTCTAGTCTATAGTCTAGTCTATAGTCTAGTCTATAGTCCTAGTCTATAGTCTAGTCTATAGTCTAGTCTATAGTCTAGTCTATAGTCTAGTCTATAGTCTAGTCTATAGTCTAGTCTATAGTCTAGTCTATAGTCTAGTCTATAGTCTAGTCTATAGTCTAGTCTATAGTCTAGTCTAGTCTAGTCTATAGTCTAGTCTATAGTCTAGTCTATAGTCTAGTCTATAGTCTAGTCTATAGTCTAGTCTATAGTCTAGTCTATAGTCTAGTCTATAGTCTAGTCTATAGTCTAGTCTATAGTCTAGTCTATAGTCTAGTCTATAGTCTAGTCTATAGTCTAGTCTAGTCTAGTCTATAGTCTAGTCTATAGTCTAGTCTATAGTCTAGTCTATAGTCTAGTCTATAGTCTAGTCTATAGTCTAGTCTATAGTCTAGTCTATAGTCTAGTCTATAGTCTAGTCTATAGTCTAGTCTATAGTCTAGTCTATAGTCTAGTCTATAGTCTAGTCTCTATAGTCTAGTCTATAGTCTAGTCTATAGTCTAGTCTATAGTCTAGTCTATAGTCTAGTCTATAGTCTAGTCTATAGTCTAGTCTATAGTCTAGTCTATAGTCTAGTCTATAGTCTAGTCTATAGTCTAGTCTATAGTCTAGTCTATAGTCTAGTCTATAGTCTAGTCTATAGTCTAGTCTATAGTCTAGTCCATAGTCTAGTCTATAGTCTAGTCTAAACATGGTTATGTCGTCTATAGTCTAAAAAGTCGTGTATCTTGTCATTAACTCAAAAAATTAAATTTCTAATAACAGTTTTTCCATCTCTGGTTGTTATTGCATCAAATATTTCCTTTTAATTTTGCGTTTACTTCAGTTATTTTAAAAGAAAATCCCCTCAAATAGCAAAAATTTTGAATAATTTTAATGTGAAAAATAACAAGTATGAGTATTATATATGACTATACCGAATCTTTTATACCCAGCATTGAAACATTAGCATATATCGACAATAATATGAGCATCAGGTTAATATTCGAAAGAGTTCCTTCTATGGGGTTTAGGTGAATTATAGAACAATTTCTTCAGATTAAGAGCTAATGATATCGAGGTTTTAATGGGCAGACGGAGATCTTCTAAGAATTTTCTAAACGACAATAATTTATGTATGTAAATACTTTTCGTTGTGTTACACACGGATTAACAAAGTCAATATACCTCCTTCTTTTTTTTTATAATGGATATAATAAAACGAAAACAAATTGATACATTACAACCAGTTTGGGTAAAAAACCAAAAATTTGTTTATAGTTCTAGACGAAAACAAACAAATAAACGTCATAATCTTTAGATTATTTGCATGGATAACAGGTTATACTTAATAATATTAAGTAAATACAGTGACTTTAATTGATACTTGTTATAAGCTTTTACAAAACAAAAATAAATGTTTATTTTTTTCTTTCTTAATATAAAATTTTATTTAAAACAACCAATATTGACGTTCTTTTAAAACAGATCAATTTAATTGAGTTCATTTTAAGAATTAAGGCAAAACCAACAAGAACATAAAAACTGTGTAACTAAAAAATATTTAACGAAAATAATATTTTAATATAAATATATTAATATTTAAGTTAAAAGTTAAACAAAAATCTTGTTTTTAAAAGTGTAAGGTGTTGATTTTTCAAACAACTATTTGCCACAGTTCTATTGGAGTGTGTGTGGGTTTACTTTAGCCAAGAATACGAACTGTGAGTGTGTTACTAACTTAGTGTTAGAAAATAATAGTAAAAATAACAATATATTTCTTATCTTGTTTTGTGATTTGTTTGTATTTATTTATCTAACTATTAATTGATTTCTTCATTCATTGTTTTCTCGTGCGATTTAGTTTGTTTTTTAAAGTCTTTAGTAATGGTTGGAGCAATAAATATTAAATAAAAACATTTTTATTTAAAATTTTAATTTCTGTTCTGCAACAACTATTACTATTTTTTTTATTTATTAAAGTAATTAAAAGTGTTAAAATATTTATATAAAACTTAAATTCTTTAAATGCATTTTTGCTTAAATTGTAACACAAAAAACATGATTTTTTTTGTAGATAAACTAAACAAATTATTAAGTGCATTAAACCATAAAAAAACTTAAATTTTAATCGGAATAATTGAAATAAAATGTTCAAATATTTTAAATGCATTTGCAGAGAAATTTAAATAGAATTTTGTTTAAAAGTTATTAAAATTTTATAATTTTGGAAAGAAAAATTAAAAACAGTGGAAAATGTTATGTGAAGAGTAGGGAAATTTTATAATTATAAAAAATCTTCTACAGAGTCGTTGATATCCTCGTCCATAATCTCATACATAACTTCATTTATGATCTTGTTCATAAACTCGTCTTTTTTCTCGTCTATCTACTATAACGTGAACTATAGAATCGTCTATAAACTGATCTATAGACTCGTCTGTAGAGTGAACTATAGATTATTCTATAGACTGAACTATAGACTAGTCTATAGACTGATCTATAGACTTGTCTATGGACTGATCTATAGACTCGTCTATAGACTGATCTATAGACTTGTCTATAGTCTGATCTGTGGACTCGTATATAGTCTGATCTATAGACTCGTATATAGTGTGATCTATAGACTCGTATATAGACTCTATAGACTCGTCTATATATTGATACATACGCTGCTCTATATACTCTCCTATAGACTGAGTTATATACTGATCTAGAGACTCGTCTATAGACAGAGCTATAGATCAGTCTATAGACTGATCTATAGTCTCGTCTATGATCAATAGACTGATCTATATAATATTAATATACTGATCTATAGAATCGCCTATGGACTGATCTAAAAACTTGACTAATCTAAAAGCTAGACTGATCTATAGACAGAGCTATATACTGATCTATAGGCTCGTCTATGGTCAATAGACTGATCTATATAATATCAATATACTGATCTATAGAATCGCCTATGGACTGATCTAAAATCTTGACTAATCTAAAAGCTAGACTGATCTATAGAATAGCCTATAAATTGATATGCAGACTAATCTAAGAACTGGTCTATAGACTAATCTATAAACTCGTCAATAGACTAATCGTTAGACTCGTTTATGGATTGATCAAGCAACTCGTTTATGGACTGATCAATTGGCTCTTCTATAGACTAATCAATATATTCCACTATAAAGTGTTCTCTACACTGATCTATTGAGTAATATATATACTGAAATATAAACTCTTTTACAGACTGATCGATACACAGATTCCCTATAGTCAGATTAATAAATTTTTCTATATAATTATACATAGACTGATCTTTGCATTATTCTTTAAACTAGTAGATTGATCTTTTAATTTATAGACTAGTCCATAGATCAGATCTTATAAACTGATCAATATAGAATCGTCTATAAACTGATCTATAGAATCGTCTATAGATTGATCGATAGAGATAGCTATAATCGCATCAGTAGACTGATCTATAGAATAGCCTAGCATATACACTGGTCTATAAGCACGTTGATAGACTGATCAATAGAATCGTTTATACACTGATCAATTGACTAAACTATAAACTGATCCATATATTCGGCTATAAAGTGATCTTTAGTCTGATCTATGAGTCGGTGATCTAAGGATTGTTCTTTAAACTAGTTGATTGATATTTCAACTTATAGACTAGTCTATTGGCTTGCCGATAGACTGATCATGTTGAAACATTGAAATATTTTTATATAGTTTATCAAATTAATAATATAACTCCTGTTTTTCCACAATTTTCCACCTCAACAATTTTTATTACATTGTTTTTCTGTTAAAACTAAATTAAAAACAATAAATAATAAATTGTTTTAAAACATCAATTTATGTTTAAAGTTTGAGTGCTCTATTTAAAACAAATAAACAACAAATTTACAACAAAATAAAATTGTTCACAAAACAAATATTAATTTAAAACTAATATTTTTTATAACAGCAGTTTAATGGTGTTCTTTTAATTGAATTCGCGTGCTGTGGCATTAAATTTTTATGAAATATTGTTGCAAATCTAGTAAAAAGAACGAATAAGTGATAAAATATTTAGTTGAATTAAATTGTTAAAATTTGCAACGGGATATTACCAAAAAAAATAACATTTAAATATTTCAATAAATAAAAACATATTTTTTTACTAAAGGTGAGTTTTAGTAATTGGTTTTTAAACAAACTGTAAACAAATTATTGGAAATATGTACAAATTATAAGGGTTAGAGATTGGCAGTGTATGTTGATTAAAATTCATTTTCCGAAGACCCCGATTTGGATCACGCTTTAAGCGCACAAGCAACCAATTCCCATTATTCGTCTGCTGCTATCATTGTAAATGACAAAGTTTTAATTAATATTTTCAAATTAATTAGTTGTTACTAATATGAATTAATCAATAAATTAACATAAATTTGTCTTTAAAATAATTTATAGTCTTAATTAACATAATAGTAGTTAATAACAATTGGAAAAGACTGCTAAAGTTAAAACTGCTTTACTTTAAACAAAAATTCAAAATTGTCATCGCTTTGTCGCTTTTATTATGTTTTCATCTGCATGACTTCATTTAACTATTAAGTTATAATCATGCCCTTTTTGGGGCAAAAAAAATAAAAATAATAATTTTGCATATTAATTTATAGTTAATAGCAGGTGTTATAAAAATAAACAAACACAAATTAACAGTTTGTTTTTGTTTTCCATTTTTTAACTATTTTAAATTAATGCATATTTTACTAATTCACGATTTTAACGTGTTTTTTTTTCTCTTTCTCAATATTAATTTATGTGCTTTTTTAGTTAGACATTTTGATATCAATGAAATCTAAATAAATATTTTGCATATTTTAATGGCAAATTAATTAATAATGGAATAAATAACTAAATACCACCGGCGATAAACCAGGAAAACTGGTTAGTTAACGATAAAACTTACATAGTCTAGTTCATATTCTAATCCAGGCCATAGTATAAGCAATAGCATAATGGTTATACTATGGCCTAGATTATGAACTAGACATAGTCTATAGTGTAGTTTATAGTTTAGTCTATAGTGCAGTTTATAGCCTAGTTTATAATCTAATGTCAAGATTATAGACTAGTCTAGTCTATAGTCTAGTCTATAGTCTAGTCTATAGTCTAGTCTATAGTCTAGTCTATAGTCTAGTCTATAGTCTAGTCTATAGTCTAGTCTATAGTCTAGTCTATAGTCTAGTCTATAGTCTAGTCTATAGTCTAGTCTATAGTCTAGTCTATAGTCTAGTCTATAGTCTAGTCTAGTCTAGTCTAGTCTATAGTATAGTCTAGTCTAGTCTATAGTCTAGTCTCTATAGTCTAGTCTATAGTCTAGTCTATAGTCTAGTCTATAGTCTAGTCTATAGTCTAGTCTATAGTCTAGTCTATAGTCTTGTCTATAGTCTAGTCTATAGTCTAGTCTATAGTCTAGTCTATTGTGTAGTCCATAGGCTGGGAAATACTTAGTCTAGTTTAAAGTCAATTCCTTAAATTATTCTATAGTTTATTACATAGTCCTTTGTTAAGTCTAATCTACATTTTATTCCATAGTCTTATCCGTAGCCTCGTCCATTGTTACCTCTATGCGACCATTCTCTAGTCGATAGCCTAGTTGTGGTTGTTTTTTCTTTAACATGCAGTTTCCTTATTTCTTTCATGTCCTTGTTCCAATTTATATTCATCTCCATTATTTTGATTAATACAAATAAAGAAGTTTGTCTTGCAATTCCTTTTAATCAAATTTCTGTCTAATTCTCTAGTTTTCCATTACTTTCTATTTATTTTTCTTTGCAATAATTTTTTGCATAAAACTTTCTTTTGTTCATCAGTCTTTCTGTTAGTTTGTGTGCGTTTTTGTATTTTCTTGCGTCTGTCTTAAAATTTCTTATAAACTGTTTTTATTGGAATTTTTTTTATCAGTATTCCTCCATGCTCGTTTTTTTACTTTTTATCCTTGTGTCTGTTGGCAATTTATAAATTTTCCTTTGTCATGGATATTTGTTTGTTGAAATAGTATTTCATATTTCTTTTTTTATTTCGAAACACTAACAATACATGTTTAACTAATGAAAATTCTTGTTCCATTTAGCTTTTTTTCATGTTTTTACATTAAAGTTGCATAATCCTTTTTTTATTATTTATCGGTTTTGTTTTGATTTTTATCGCAAAATGGTTTAACTATGTATGTGTGTGTAGTACTTATGCCAATCATATACAATTTCTTTTCATCACTTGGATTGTTTACTTTCCCCCTTTTTTGAAATACCCTACAGCACAAAGTTAGGTTTGTCATTGCGTTAGCTGTTAACGGTTTTGATTAACTATGGCATAGAAATATATCATACGCATCCAAATCTTAATCCAAAATATTACTCATACGTCTGAAAACTTGGCATATTGTTGAGAAATGATCCAAAAATTACTACTTCGGTATTTCCCTTATATTTCATTAAGTGCTTTAAGGTGTTTAATAGGTTATATAGTAACAGACTATATACTCTTTATTTGTCTAATATTTACCAACGTTTATTCTGTGAGCAAACCCTTGTCTGCAACAAGATTGATAAATTGTTAGAGAAACCACTTTGTATGGATAAAATGATTTATGATTGGTTACCTTGAGTTTAAAAATAGTCAAGAAAAAAGTTTTTTTTAAAGTAAACTTTTACTTTAAATTTAAGGATGATCTATAATCAAATTCATTACTAGACCAGAACCAATTTAAGTTTTTATTAATATTTTTATAAATGTTTCTCCCATTGCAATGGCTTTTAACACAAACTGTATATGACATGGTCATTAAAACAAAATTTCAAGTTTCATTTTTCTTAAACTTCAAACACCTTTCCAAATTCAATACAATGTTCAATTCATTTGTTAAATATTTTTCTTATTAAACTTGTCTTATTGTTTGTTGTGTGAACGCGAGAAAAATAAATTAATGTTCTAAAAGACACATTAAAAAGTTTGAATTACAAAAAAAAAAAAAAAAACTGAATAATCTAATTTTGCAATTTAGAACAATAAATTTTATTTCATATTCAAACCAACCCACATTTTCAACTTAAAAAACATGCAATTATTCAAACAGCAATAACTCCCAGTTATATATTCTACACCATTTCCAAAAGTAATAAAAACTAAAAACTACAATTGGCAATTAAGTGGAAATTAATATTTCTGTGGGATTAGGTGTATCTGGCAAATGGTATGTATACATGCTACATTTTTAAGGACAGACAAAAAAAAAAAAAAAAAATCAAACTTGAGCATAAAATTTATTTAAATTTTTTATTCTTTTTTTTTTTTTTGGTTTAAAATAAAAGTCGTGACTACCCAATGCTTCTATTAATGTCAGAAAATATATTTATTTCCATTGTTGTAAGGTTGATACATTTTGAAATTCTAAAAGATAGTAAAATGGCTGTAAGACAAACTGCAACTGAATAGATTAAACAGATGGATAAGACGGACAAACATAAAACTGTAAAACTGCATACAAAGTGTGAATGGAAATTGTAACAAAGTGGAACCTATAGAAGGATTTTAAGCAAAAGTATATATCACCGTAATATATAGTCTACTCCATAGTCTAGTCAATAATCTACTCTAGTCTAGTCCATAATCTATTCTATTCTAGTCCATAATCTATTCAAGTCCAGTCCATAGTCTAGTCTTTAGTATAGTCCATAGTCTAGTCCATAGCCTAGTTTATAGTCCAGTTCATAGTCTAGTTCATAGTCTAGTTCATAGTCTAGCACATACTCCAGTATAGTACTCTCTATAGTATAGTCCATAGCATAGTCCTTAGTCTAGTCCATAGTATACTTCATAAGGAAGTCCATAGTTAGTACATAATGTAGTCCATAGTCTAGTCCATAGTACAGCCCATAGTCTAGTTCATACTCTAGTCCATAGTCTAGTCAATAGTATAGTTCACGGTTTGTCCATAGACTAGTCAATAGTCCAGTTCACGGTCTAGTCAATAGTTTAGTCAATAGTCAAGTCCATACTCTAATCCATAGTCTAGTCCGTCATCAAGTCCATAGTCTAGTCTATATTCTAGTCCATATTCTAGTCCATAGTCTAGTCCATATTCAAGTCCATAGTCTAGTCCATAGTCTAGTCCATAGTCTAGTCCATATTCTAGTCCATAGTCTAGTCCATATTCTAGTCTATAGTCTAGTCCATAGTCTAGTCCATAGTCTAGTCCATAGTCTAGTCCATAGTCTAGTCCATAGTCTAGTCCATAGTCTAGTCCATAGTCTAGTCCATAGTCTAGTCCATAGTCTAGTTCATAATCTAGTCCATAGTCTAGTCCATTATCTGGTCCATAGTCCAATTCATAGTTTAGCCCATAGTCTAGTCCATAGTCTAGTCCATAGTCTAGTCCATGGTCTAGTCCTTAGTCTAGTACTTAGTCTAGTCCGCAGTCTAGTCCATTATCTGGTCCATAGTCCAATTCATAGTTTAGCCCATAGTCTAGTCCATAGTCTAGTCCATGGTCTAGTCCTTAGTCTAGTACTTAGTCTAGTCCGCAGTCTAGTCCATAGTCTAGTCCATCGTCTAGTTCTTTGTCTAGTCCATAATTTAGTCCATAGTTCAGTACAGAGACCAGTCCATAGTTAAGTCCATAGTCTAGTTCTTAGTCTAGCTCATAATCTAGTCCGCAGTCTAGTCCATAGTCTAGTCCATAGTCTAGTACATATTTAAGTACCTAGTCTAGTCCACACTCTAATCCATAGTCAAGTCCATAGTCTAGTCCATAATGAAGTCCATTATCTAATCCATAGTCTAGTGCAATGTCGAGTTCATAGTCTAGTCCATAGTCTAGTGCATAGTCGAGTCCATAGTCTAGTCCAAAGTCTAGTCCATTGTCTAGTCTATAGTCTAATTTATATTTAAGCTCATAGTCTAATCCATAGTGTAGTTCATGGTGTAGTCGATAGTATAGTCCATAGTGTAGTCCATAGTCTAGTCCATAGGTTAGTTCATATTCTAGTCCATAGCCTAGTCTATAGTCTAGTTTATAGTTTAGCCCATAGTCTAGGCCATAATCTAGTTCATAATCTAGTCCATAACCTAGTCCATAGTCTAGTCCATAGTCAAATCCATAGTCTAGTCCATAGTCAAATG